TTGAACCTCTCTTCAAGTTTTTGACTCTGACATGTAGTAAATATATCCTCTCTTCAAGTTTTTGACTCGACAAGTAGTAAATATATCCTCTCTTCAAGTTTTTGCTCTGACAAGTAGTAAACATATCCTCTCTTTCGAGTTTTTGACTCTGACAAGTAGTAAATATATCCTCTCTTCAAGTTTTTGACTACCAAATAGTAAATATATCCTCTCTGCAAATGTTTTGACTCTGACAAGTAGTAAATATATCCTCTCTTCAAGTTTTTGACTCTGACAAGTAGTAAATAAATCCTCTCCTCAAGTTTTTGATTTTGACAAGTAGTAACTATGTCCTCTCTTCAAATTTTTGACTCTCACAAATAGTAAACATATTCTCTTTCAAGTTTTTGACTAACATATAATAGATATATACTCTCTTCAAGTTTTTGACTAACATATAATAGATATATCCTCTCTTCAAGTTTTTGACTAACATATAATAGATATATCTCTCTTCAAGTTTTTGACTAACATATAATAGATATATACTCTCTTCAAGTTTTTGACTAACATATAATAGATATATCCTCTCTTCAAGTTTTTGACTAACATATAATAGATATATCCTCTCTTCAAGTTTTTGACTAACATATAATAGATATATCCTCTCTTCAAGTTTTTGACTAACATATAATAGATATATACTCTCTTCAAGTTTTTGACTCTGATAGTTAATAGATATATCCTTTCTTCGGGTTTTTCACTCTGACAATTAGTACTGTTTGGACTTTGTTTTAACAAAACTGAACAGATGTCCACTTTGTTGTTTACAATACTGCGTTTAAGGTCACTTGGTATTTTAAATCTTTTAGTTTTGACAAGCAGGCATTCACTTAATATATACTAATTTCAGGTTTTTCAACGTTACTGTAGAACACTAATTGTATGCCCACTGAAATTCCTTCACAGAGTTTTAAAAGCACAGCACCGTATATATGCTAAATACAAGTTACTGCTCGCTTCGTAAAACATTGAATAAGTATTCAGTCAAATTTCTGAGGTGATCCGACAAATTCTAAGTATATGCCAACTCAAAATACTTCGCTGTTTTTGGAAAACATAGGAAGATCTTTATTACCAGAAATAGTAATTTTTATATATGTACTTGATATTTTGAAGATCTGTTTTATTTAATACACGAACAATATTACAGCATCAGTTTTGATATATTCTAGGTACATTCTCCCTTCGATCTCTACTAATGAGTTTTCTCATAATGTCGAAAATATTAGACAAAGAAACCCGTATATGAATGAAACGGCTCGGTATAAGATTTATTTAAGTTGTCACAGAGAAGTTGAAGGTTTTTCAGTAGTTTATAAATGTCCAAACTTCTCACTTATTTTACCGTGCTAATCCTATTGAAGCACGGAAACCTGGGTGCTGTCCTAGACTTATATAGCATGTTTTTGACAGGTGCATGTGCTACTTCAATGTAGTGGCGGGCGTGGTCGAAGTTTTAACCGGGAAGGTTCTCTCCTATATAAGCCAGTAGCTCAACCCGACGAGCTCAAAATGCTCGTGGAGTCCGAGCTTGGCTTCTAGCTTGTCTGGTTGGGTTACTACACACTTGCACACACGGAATACTTGTTACCAGTCTGGTTGTTCCGGCTTTTGTGATTGTAGATGTGGTCAGTCTTTATGAAAATTTGTTAAAAATGAAGAATAGGACCATTTTATTCATGAAACACTAAAATATTTCGCGAGAAAAAGAAAGTATAAAGAAGGTAAGCTTCGTTTAAAAAAAATTACCACGATCTTATTTCCTATAACTGTTAGCACACAGTTTCAAGTGTTTTAGAATATCGGTATTTGAAATATTTATTTGACCACTATCCTACTATTTATAACTTGTAGTATAAAGTTTCAAGTGTTTTAGAATATCGGTATTTGAAATATTTGTTTGACCACTATCCTACTATTTATAACTTTTAGTATAAAGTTTCAAATGTTTTAAAATATCGGTATTTGAAATATTTATTTTACCACTATCCCACTATTTATAACTTTTAGTATAAAGTTTCAAGTGTTTTAAAATATCGGTATTTGAAATATTTATTTTACCACTATCCTACTATTTATAACTTTTAGTATAAAGATTCAAGTGTTTTAAAATATCGGTATTTGAAATATTTGTTTTATCACTATCTTACTATCCATAACTGTTAGCGCAAAGTTTCAGGTGTTTTAGAATATCGGTATACGAAATATTTGTTTTATCACTATCGTTCTATCTATAACGGATAGCAAGAACTTTGAAGTGTTTGGAAACATTGGTATGTTAAATACACATCAGTAAATACTTACCTGAAGCACAGCAGAGTGCTGTATATCATTTCACGCAAAAAAGTGAAGAAAAAACCCCCTCACACATAATTAATCGATACGACTTGTCTCACCCTTAGACCCCCATTCCACGACTTGGCTCAGCCTTAGACCACATCATACGATCTATGTCGGACTTAGGCCTCCATCCAACGACTTGTCTTAGTCTTAGGCCACCATTCCAAGACTTGTCTTGGCCTTAGGCCCCAATCCCACGACTTTTCTCGGCCTTAGACCTAAATCTCAATATAGATAGATGACCACTTTTTGTTGAACGACACCCTTACTAAGGAATATACAAACAGTAATACGGACGCTAATTATAACACTGCTTGGGACTAACAATTTAAAACCTACTAATGATGTGTAAAAACAGATGAAAATCTAGTATGACACAACTTTATAATAAAATAATCTTATCCATTTCACCAACTGAGTTTTCTACTTATTTTCTCAGCAGAAACAAGATTTGTCTTTCTAAACTTAAAAACATTAGGCATTTTAAAAGCAAAACAACGGTAATAATAATAATTAGTCTTTTTACACAGATATTGATAACGATTTCTCGAAAAGCCAAACGTTTATGAGTAAAGAACTTTCTTCCGAACAATGACTTATTTGTTGGATATCACGCAAAGCTACACGACAACTTATTTGCGCTAGCTGTCCCTAATTTTGAAGAGATAAACCAGAAGAAAGGTAACTAGTCAACACCACCCACCGCCAACTCTTGAGTTATTATTTTTCAGATCGAATAGTGGGATTTGACTGTCGCCATTTTTTAACATTTTTGTCGCTGCCGTGCACCGGTCCGGTACTCTAAACTAGGAGGGGAGTTTTTAGTTAATGCTCTCCGATGGAATCATATAAACTTCTGAAATCTCTATTTTAATGACTTTTCTATAGACCATGTAATAAACTGATAGGGCTTTGGCTCCGCTGTTAGGTATGTGTTTCCGGCAATGACTTTAGCAAGGATAACATGTAATAGGTTCAGTAAAATACTGATTATTTAAACATTGAGAAGCTTGAAAGATATGATCTTCAGTTTTAACTCGATCATTAAGGTTATAGGGGTAAATTGTGGCAGTTTTACTTCATTAAACCTTTCTTTTTATCGGCTTAGCTCGTATGTTCATTAAGTTGTATCAGAAAATCCTCGGAGAATTAAAGCTTTATAAAGTAAAATGTTTTTTCCTTGGTAACAATCCTATTTGCATTCATTCTGTTTGTTAAAAACTGCAAAAGTTCGTCTACATAACGAGCTTTGCTCTGCCGATATAGCTAAGTACATTATCAATAATTAACTAGCTTTACTCTGCTGATATAGCTAAGTACATTATCAATAATTTCTAATCAAACAAAGATCATAATTATCTCAAAAGGTTCGGCCATCATAGTTATATACATATAAAGGTTAAATAGTTCACACGACTGAATTTCTTTAGTATTTAAATTAACTAGTTAGATCAGTGTCTGTTAATGTCATTGTTTTCTATATTATATTTATCATTGACGATGCATTATTACCTATTAAGACAACTTATACTTTATTTTTCCAATATTATTTGTTAATTGTTTGTTAATTCCGGTTGCCCACTCCTTAACTTAACCGTGTGCGGGAAGGGTGTGTGTGTGTGTGTTACATCACATTGTAGAAACTGGTTACACACGTTACCCAAAGTAACTTCTATATCATTACTTTACAACCTGGTAAACCAATTTCATATTTCTCTACTATGTATGTGTATATATATATATAACATTGGCGTAAGAAAATATTTTGACCTAGAGGGGGCTAAAGGACAATGCAACTACTCAGAAGTATCATGTGTGGAGGAGGGGAGCAAAAATGCCTCCTTCCAATGTGGGGTATGTCCACAGTAAAACTTTTTTAAATGTAGAATCAATTTCCAACTGTCTCCCACATTCTGACAGGATAGTTTGTTAAATAGATTACTACTGATGTTGTAAGTTTTACAGCTGACAAATAGTCTGATTAAGCTAGCAAAAGAGCACTGTATTTTCCCAGGACTCGTATCAATAGTTTGATTACACATAAATGTATAGGCATTGCATTCCACGACTTGACGGGTGTGTCTTCGTATGGAATTCCATGAATAAACGTTTCTTTCTCCAGGTGCTTGAAATGTGTGATAGTTGAACGAGAATTATGAATGGAAGCCTCATCATGATAAATCCATATCCTGTTGTCTTTGCCAGGTGGTTAAGGCACTCGACTCGCAATCTGAGGGTTCGAAT